AATTTGCAGCCCACACAATTTATTAACCCAATAAAATGGTTGTTGTGTACATATAGATGCCTCTGCCCCAATATTTACACACACACACACACACACACACACACACACACACACACGCGCGCGCGCGCGCGCACCCCTCTTTCCTGGCACAGAGCTCCTCAAACCTTATAAATTCCTAAGTGATAAGAGCACCAGGAGCATCTTTTGTTCTCATAGAGGTGACTGTGGGTGGGCTCCTGGATGGAGGCTGGTCGCCAGGAAGACCAAACCATGATTAGAAGCTTGGAATTTTCAACTAGTCCTGCCAACCCCCATTCTCCAGAGAGGGGAGAGGGGCTGGAAATGGACTTAATAATTGGTCAGCCTACATGAGAAAGCTTTCATAAAATCCTGATAGCACACAATTCAGGGAGCTCCCAGGGGGGTGAACATGTCCACAGCAGGAGGTTGACGATGCACCCTAACTGCATGGGGACACAAGTGCCTGTGCCCCGACCTCGCTCTATGTATGTCTTCACCTGGCATTCATCTGTATTATCATGTCCTTCAATAAGCTGAGAAGTGTTAAGTGTTTCCCTGAGTTCCGCAAACTAATCAAACCCATGGAGGGCGTCATGGAAACCTCTGATCTGTAGCTGGTTGGTCAGAAGCACAAGGGACAACATGAACTTGTGATTGATATCTGAAGTGTGGGTGGTCAGTCATGTGAGACTCAGCCCTTCATCTGTGAGATTTGATGCAATCTCCAGAATTGAGTTAAATTGTAGGACACCCGGCTGGTGGAGGAGACGTGCTGGTTGTTGAGGACAGGGCGGACTCCACACGCTTTTCGTGACCGGAAGCGAAGTGTTCTAGGTAAAAGTAAAGGATATGCGCGCGCACGCACACACACACACACACACACACACACACACACGCAGTGGGGAAGAACTGAGTTTCTCCCTACACAGCTGTTTTACATAACTATGTTTCTGAGTGACTTTTTATGTACTAATAGTAACTGGAACCGCAATCAAGAAATGTGGGATTCATGCCCTGACCGTTTTGGCTCAGTGGATAGAGCGTCGGCCTGCGGACTGAAGGGTCCCAGGTTCGATTTCGGTCAAGAGCATGTACCTTGGTTGTGGGCACATCCTCAGTAGGGGGTGTGCAGGAGGCAGCTGATCGATGTTTCTCTCTCATCGATGTTTCTAACTTTCTCTCCATCTCCCTTCCTCTCTGTAAAAAAAAAAAAAAATCAATAAAAAATATATTTTTAAAAAAAGAGAAATGTGGGATTCATAAACAGTCCTCCTGCCCTGGCCACTGTGGATCAATGGCTAGATCATCGGCCCATCCCCGGAAGGTCCATGGGTTCAATTCCTCATCAAAGGCACATATCTGGGTTGCAGATTCCATCGCAAGTGTGGGGGGCAACCAATCGATGTCTCTCTCACATTGATGTTTCTTTGTCTCTCCCCCCTCCCTCCCTTCCACTCTCTCTAAAAATCAATGGAAAAATTTCCTTGGGTGAGGATTAACAACAAAAAACAAACAAACAAACAAAAGAGCCCTCCTTCTTTATTCATTCCCTATAGCCATCCAGTACCATGGCCAGTCGGCTAAGCCTGGACAATCTCTCCCAAAACCACATCTCCTCCCGATTACACTATTCCTGACCTGGTGGCTCTCCGGCAGCTTGACCTTGATCTCCTGCCACATCCTCCACTCCTGGATCTCTGCCTCCAATGGGAACAGTCTCAACCCCATCCCTTTGCAGGACTCTAGGACATTTTTCCACCCGAAGCACACACCCAACAAATCCCTGTCCTGCTTAAATGGCCTTTCATTTTCCGAAGGAGAAATGCCAAGTCCTTCTTGTAGCATTCAAGATCTACTAAGCAATGACCCTGTCACCTTCTACAGACTCATCACTTACTGTTCTCTGCTTCACCATGTGCCCCAATAACCAAATGTAACCTATTTCGTGGGCCTTTCCTGTGAATTCTCACTCCCCTCGGCCTGGAATGCAATGCTCGTTCTTCTTTTTGAGTTTCTCAGCCTTGGTGTTACCTCCTCCAGGAAGTGACCCTAAACCCTGTCAGTACGAGTTAGCTGTTCCTTTTGGGGGGGGGGGGTCCCACAATGACCCAAGAATCTCCCTGTCACTACATATACCCCACTCTTTGGTAACTAAGCACTTCACTCTCTAATATCTCCATCCACTTGGTCAGTTTCTCCAGGGTAGAGTCCATGACTGATTAATCTCTACCACCCCTTGCTCCTTGATAAATGAACTCCATTTTATTCAGGTGGCATATACCTTCATCCTAAGCCAATTCAGTCAACCAAAAATGTTTTTAATTTTGCCACAGATTGAGCTACAGATGGGTATGTCACCCAGTTCTGCCAATGGAAGATAAGAAGAGTCCTATTTGCCTCTAGAAAGATTTTCCTTCTTCATTAAATGAGATAGGTATGTGAATAGAGTCCATTTTTCTGCCCAATTCCCTCCCTTCTGGCTTCAAAGGTTATGTAGATGTGATGTCTGGAATAGTAGCAGCCACTTTGTGGACATGTTCAAGGAATCACAAAAAACAAACAAACAACCAATAGGATAATAGAATGGAAGAATTAACTCAATTTTTTAAAAAATGTATTTTTATTGATTTTAGAGATGAAGGGAGAAGGAGAGATAGAAACATCAATGATGAGAATTATTCATCAGCTGCCTTCTGCATTCCCCCTATGCGGGATGCAGCCCGCAACCAAGCATGTGCCCTTGATTGGAATTGAACCCGGACCCTTCAGTCCACAGGCCCGTGCTCTATCCACTAAGCCAAACCAGCTAGGGCAACTCAATTCTTATTCAGACTCAAGAACCTACCTCCTTCCAATTTTTAAAAAATAATAAATGTCTTCATAATTTAAGTGATTCACAAGTTTGCTGTAACTTATACCAATTGTACAGTAATTTGAGGGGAAATAATTGTCTATCTCTTGGACTCTTGTTTTCTGTCTCTCCACTTTTCTCCCTGGATGTATCCACTGGGTTTGAGAACAACACTGTATACTGTGATGGTACTTAAAACTCAGAAAGGGCCCATTTCCGCAAACTCACAAATTATCTCTTTCAGAAGTAGAGGTTAGAAGATCAATCCTGGAGATGGTGTTGGGTGTTCTCTTTTTTTGTAATATACATATTTTTATTTATTTCAGAGAGGAAGGGAGAGAGAGAAACATCAATGATGAGACTCATTGATCGGCTGCCTCCTGCACACCCCCAACTGGAGATTGAGCCTGCAAGCCGGGCATGTGTCCTGACCAGGAATCGAACCTTGACCTCCTGGTTCGTAGGTGGACGCTCAACCACTGAGCCATGTTGGCTGGGTGAATGTTCTTGAGTACTGTTTATTTGAGCACCACTGTGGTTTAAAAAGAAACATATTTGGTCTTTGTCCCAGGTTCTAGGGACAAGGCTAAAAACCTTGCAATTTCTTGAGTAATGAATGGGAGGGTCTTATTTTATTCATGAGAAGCCTCACCTTTTTTAAATCCCCACCTGAGGATATTATTTTCCATTGATTTTCAGAGAGAGTGGAAGGGAGTGGGGAGGGAAAGAGGAGAGAGAGAGAGAGGGAGAGAAACATCGATGTGAGAGAGACATATTGATGGGTTGTCTCCCACATATGCCCCAACTGGGGCTGGGTATCAAATCTGCAACTCAGGTATGTACCCTTGACCGGCAATTGAACCCATGACCCTTTGATGAATGGGCTGATGCTCTAACCACTTAGCAAAACCAGCCAGGGCAATGAGGAGCTCTTTTGGTCAAAGAGAATTTTAGTTAATGAGTTGAGTTGAATAGCCTCAATGGGACCAAGTGATGAAAGCTTTGTAACTTTTAGCCTCACACACCAACTTCTGAGAAGGGGAAGTGGGAGAGAGGCTGGAGACTAAGCTCTATAATATAACTCTTTTTAAAAATAAGTTTTTATTGATTTAAGAGAGAAGAAGAAAGAGTGAGAGAGTGATAGAAACATCAATGATGGGAGAGAATGATTGATCGGTTGCCTCCTGCACGCCCCCTACTGGGGGATCAAGTCCACAATCCTGACATCTGCCCCAAAAGGAATTGAACCGTGACCTCCTGGTTCATGGGTCAATGCTCAATCACTGAGCCACATCAGCTAGGCTATATTAACACTTGAATAATGAGATCTGATGAACTTCTACGTTATTGAACACATCAACCTAGAGGGCTGGTGCTCCCAGAAAGAACATGGAAGGTCTCTGTAAACACTCCCCTATACCTTGCCCTGTGTATCTCTTCCATTTAGCTTTCTTGAGGTGTACCCTTTATAATAACCTGGCAGACATGTAGTTTGTCCTCCTGATTTCTATGAGCCATTCTAGCAAATTATCAAACCAAAGGAGAGGGTCAGGACAACACCTGACTTATAGCTGCTCAATTAGAAGTACAGTTCGCAACCTGGGATTTGCAATTGTCAACGCAAGTGAGAGCAGCCTCTGGCACTGAGCCCATTACCTTGTGGGATCTGGCCCTAATTCCAGATAGACAGTGCCAGCCTGAATTGTAGGATACGCAGGTCAGGTCCACGGAGAACTGGAGAATTTCTTGATGGAGAACCAACCCACACATCTGGTGGCAGAAGTGGTAAGTGAGTAGAGAAACAATTTGTTGTTTAACCATCATCTCTGGTTGTTGTTGTTGTTTGCCTCAAGTTCTTCTCACCGCAGTACTTGTTCCTTTCATTTCCCTGAATCTCGGGAAGAGAAAGGGCCAGGACACCCAGCCCTTTGATATTCAGAGGATCGAACTCCGTCTCTCACAGAAGGTGGGAGGCAAGGGGAACATTCAGACGTTACGTTTCTAAGGATAGCATGCTGACGCTATATCAAGAGTGACTTATGGGAACTGAAAAAAGCTCTGAGTTTCTGTCACCTGACTGATTCCAGCCCCATTGTCCCTCCCCCTTGCCCTTCAATAAAGTGCTGAAGCTCCTGCCTGAGTGACTCCACAGGAAGACAGGAACTGGCCACAGGAACAGGGTCTCAGCTGGTGGTAAGTTGGAAGCCTGATAATTTAAAAATTATTATTTGAATATCTACTCTGTGGCAGATACCTCCTGAGCTCTAGAGCTGGACTGTCCAATAAGAATACACTTGCCACATATGATTATTGAGTTCTTGCTAGTCTGACCTGAGAGGTGTTGTAGTCAAAAATGAATTTCGTATATTCAAGACTTAGTACAAAAATGGTATCAAATATCTTAGTGGTAATTCCTATATCAGTTACATGTTCAAATCATATCTTTTGAAATGTTGGGTTAAATAAAAATACTATTAAGATTAATTAATGTAGCCCTGCCAGTGTGACACATACCCAGGTTGCTGCTTGGTCCTCGCTGGGAGGCATGCAGGAAGCAGCTGATCAATGATTTCCCCTCTCCCTATCCCCCGCTAAAAATCAATTAAAATAATTTAAAGGTAAAAAATGAAATTAATATATTACTGAAATTAATTTCTTTTACTTTGTAAAAAATTTGCAGGTTACATAAGTGGCTTGCATTTATGTTTTTATTGGACAGAGTGACTGTAGAAATACAGTACTGAAAAACCTTGGTAATCTTTGCAGCATATGTACTAATGTGGAGGGTGTTTAGAATAAAAATAAATAAATGGACAAATAAACAAGAACAGTACCTAGTGAGACAGACTGTCCTGGGGTAGCTGCTTTACATTGTGAGTCAGCAAGGACCTCTCTGAGAATATAATATCTAAGATAATAATATTCAGAAAGAACCACATGTTGGAAACTTGAAAGAAAGCATAGTAGGCAGAAGGAACAGGGGGTACAAAAGCCCTGAGATGGCAATGACGTTGGCATGTTCAAGAAATCAAAGGAATTCAGTGTGGATCCATCACAGTGTGTGAGAAGACAGCAGGTGAGAGAGGACCACAGATGTGTGAGGTCTGAGGGTTACCCAGGGAAGACCCACGAGTGCTTGGTGAGCTTGAGTTAGGAGTTTGGAAGCCTTTGGAGGGTGTTGAGCAGAATAATGTCATGGTATGATTTGTGTTTATAAAAGATCACTTGGCTTGTGTCTGGAGAATGGGGTGGGAGGGGTGCAGCATCAGTGGTAAGAAAAAGCTATTTACAAAGTTAGTGCGAATAAACACTCAGACAAGGACCAGGGACAAGGGTAATGGTAATAAAAATGATTCCAGGTGCCAACTCAGTTGCTTTGTAAATAGAATTGACTGACCTGGATTGGATGGTCAGAGAAAAGGAAATCAAGAATAAGTACTACATTTGGAAATTCAATTACTGAATGTTTTGTTTCCAAATAGACACAGAATATTGGGTGAGTAGCAGATATGAGAGGACAGAAGAATTAGGAGTTGGGTTTAGGCAATGTTATGTTTGGGGTGCCTATGGGAGTCCCATGGGGAGATGTCAAGTCAGTTGGTTACATATCAGGCGAGAACTCTGTGGAGAAGCCAAGGCTGATTACATAGGTCAGAAGTTATGAGTAAAATGTTATAAGCTATGAGACCAGATGACATCGCCTATGGAACAAGTAGAGAACAGAGGAGGCAGGAACACCACAACACTTAGAGTTAAATTTAGAGGAGGAAGAGGCTTCAGGTCAAGATGGCAGCATAGGTGAAAGTGGTGCTCGCCTCCTCTCACAGCCACATCAAAATTTACAACTCAGCCTTGGCCAATTTGTCTCACTGGTTAGAGCATAGGCCTGTGGACCAAAGGGTCATGGGTTTGATTCCCGGGCAAGGGTACCTCTCTTGCAGGTTCACCAGCCCTGGTACGGGTGGGTGTGGGAGGCAACCACTCCATGTGTCTCTCTCACATGGATGTTTCTCTTTCTTTCTCTCTTTCTCTCTCTCTCTCTCTCTCTCTCTCTCTCTCTCTCTCTCTCTCTCTCTCTCTCTCCCTTCTCTATCTGAAATAAAAAAATATAAAAAAGAACAATAAAATGTCAATAAATGCATATCTCAACCATTGAATCTAAAAATCAAAATAAATGAACAAGAAATCCAATGAATAAAAGAAAATGAATAATTAGAACCAGAGACATGGAAACATGGAACAGATTGACAAACCTCAAAGGGAAGAAAGGAGGGGGGCCTGGGAGAGATTAATCAAAGAACTTACATGCCTATATGCACTATGTATGGACACAGACAATAGGGTGGTAAAGGCCTGGGGTGGGGTGGGAACCAGGTGGAAGGGGGAAGGAGAGGAAAAGGGGGAACATCCGTAATACTTTCAATAGTAAATGTTTTTTAAAAATTAGAGGAGACAGCCGAAACCGGTTTGGCTCAGTGGATAGAGCGTCGGCTTGCGGACTGAGGGGTCCCGGGTTCGATTCCGGTCAAGGGCATGTATCTGGGTTGCGGGCACATCCCCAGTCAGGAGTGTGCAGGAGGCAGCTGATCGATGTTTCTCTCTCATCGATGTTTCTAACTCTCTATCTCTCTCCCTTCCTCTCTGTAAAAAATCAATAAAATATATTTTTAAAAAAATAAAAAATAAAAATTAGAGGAGACAAAGAAAGTAAATAATACTGAGCTGAAGTGGCCAACGGAGCTATAAAGACAACCAAAGTGTGTGCATCTTACCATCTAAAGGCATAAAAAATGTGTTTTAAGAAGGAGGAAGTGGTTTATGGGTCTCATGTCACTAAGATATCAGGATAAGACCCGAGAAGGCACACTGGGGTGGTGACATGGAGGCCATAGGCCTCCTTAAGGGGAGCACAGTCCGTGGTGTGCTCAGGACCTAAGTCAATTTGCAGTGAGTTTAGGAGAAAGGCTTAGGTGACAAGTGGAGACACTGCCTTTTAGCATTTGGCTGTGAATACTCACCACTGTGAGAATTTTCTTGAGAGAATAGGGCTGAAGCTAGAAAGGAACTTAGGCCAAGGACAGTTTCTTTGTGAAGGGAGGGGTTATGATCATGTTTGTTTGATGGAATGGTCTAGTACTGTGGTCAGCAAACTGCGGCTCGCGAGCCACATGCGGCTCTTTGGCCCCTTGAGTGTGGCTCTTCCACAAAATACCACGTGCGGGCGCGCAGACAGTGAGATTGAAACTTCGTGGCCCATGCACAGAAGTCGGCTTTGGGCCCGGGCGAGTCTATTTTGAAGAAGTACTGTTGATATTTGGCTCTTTGACTAATGAGTTTGCTGACCACTGGTCTAGTAGAAAGAATATCTTGGAGCCAAAACCGGTTTGGCCCAGTGGATAGAGCGTCGGCCTGCTGACTGAAGGGTCCCAGGTTCGATTCCGCTCAAGGGCATGTACCTGGGTTGCGAGCACATCCCCAGTAGGAGATGTGCAGGAGGCGGCTGATCGATGTTTCTCTCTCATCGATGTTTCTAACTCTCTATCTCTCTCCCTTCCTCTCTGTATAAAATCAATAAAATATATTTTTTTTAAAAAAGAATATCTTGGAGAAGTTTTGGCAGATAAGTGATACTTATAAGTGATACTGCAGATAGGAAATTCTTGGGAAGCTGGGACAGAGAGAGGGATCCAGAGCAAACATCAAGGGGGAATGAACAAGACCTCTTGATTCACTCACTAAGAGGTACAGACAGACTAGAGAGTTTGCTTGCAAGAAGGCTAAAAAGTTCACAAACATTACCCTTTTCTCATTAAAATATTAGTCAAGGGCACCTGCTGAGAGCAGGAATGGGGAGGAGGTTAAGAAGTCTGAGGAGAAATCAGAAGTTCAAAGCATGAAAATGCAAACATGATGAAGAAAGAGAGGAACATAACAAGGGACTGCTGAGTTTCCATGTGAAATCTGTGGTCATAAATTCGGTGGTGCCTCTTAACAATTCTGATCTTGGGCAGGTCACTTTCTCTGCCCAATGTATGATGACACTAATCCAAAAGCAAGGATGTTGTCATTGGAGTTGATAAACTGTACTGTGAATGACACCTTTTATGAGTCACCAAATAGCAGCCATCATAATCCATCTGAGCACCATCCGTGGATCACAGGCTCTCCCCCACCCTGCAATGAGAGTGGGCCCATAATTTCACAACTTTGCTGCATTAACCTTTCCCTAACCATCATTGCCCAATCATCCTTCCTTGTTGTATCAACATTTTTAAACCAATAATTTAAGAAATTGTTGAGCTCATCATATCCTCTGAGGCCCTTGTAGGGTGTCGAGTGGGTGGGTAGAGAGAACTGACCCTGGAGAGGAAGTACGGGGTGGGAGAAATTTAAGAGGAAATTTCTGGTGGAATCCTGAGCTCAAATTCAGGCTCTACCTCTTACTAACTGAGGGCTTTCACAAAATTAATATAACCAGTTTTAGTCTTCACTTCCTGATCAGTACAATGGTTATACTAGTTATAACTACCATGATTCCATATTTTGAAAGTCACAGAGTATGCTCGTGCTTTACACATACTCACACATGCAATCCTCAAGAGCCATATAAGAAGACTTTTACTGAGGGTTAAAAGAGGAGCTCTTGGCACATACAAGATGCTCATATGCAGTTAATACGATAATTATCACCTTTGTTCTTGACCTGAACTTGAGCTTTCACAATGTATGGTCCCGGATTGTGTTCTAGGACACAGGACAGAGGCTGGTGAGCACCAAGAGTCCCCATGTGTTATAGACATTTGGTTCTCCCTAAAAGATTTCTATGTCTATCCTCATCCAATCCTCACCTAAAAATTGGTTTAACCAGAAAATCACCCTATTCTGTAGAGGAGCAAACTGTAGTTCGATGAGATATCACTAACTAAACACTCATATTGGGCAAGGTGTCAGAGAGGAGATTAGAATACAGATTGACATAACTCCAGTGACCAACACTACAGTATAATACTGATTCTCAACTAGAGGTGATTTTACCCCCTGGGGACATTGGACACTTATAACTAGAAGGCGTTGCTACGAGGTTCTTGCAGAAGAAGATCAGAGAGGTGGATAAACATTCTACAATGTATAGGACAGTCCCCCAAAACAAAGAATTATACACCCAAATATCAATGTTGCCAAGATTGAGAAACCCTGCCCTATGTGAAGCAATATCCCATAGACAACTGGGTAGAAGTGTTAAGTGAAGACAGGAACAAATGAAGAAGGAAAAAAAGGAAAAGAAAATGAAGCAAATTGTCATACTAGGTTATGGTCATCTCCAGGTAATACTGGGGGAGGAACCTTTAAAAGACAGTATTTACAGTGGCAAAGGCAGTGGTTCTGGAATCAGTTCAATCTGGTTTTCAAAGCTTGCTGTTTCCACTGACTAGCTGGGCTCATGATGGTGACCAGCTGCTGAAACCCTTGGACCATGATTTCCCCCTGGTGAAAAAGGGATCATAATGGATGTCTTGAATATTATTTTTATTTTTTTTAAATTAAAACTTTAGTGTTCAGATTATTACATTTGTTCCTTTCCCCCCCCCCATAACTCCCCTCCTCCCAGTTCCCACCCCACCCTCCACCCTCACTCCCCACCCACTGTCCTCATCCATAGGTGCACGATTTTTGTCCAGTTTCTTCCCGCATCTCCCACACCCCTTTCCCCTCCCAAGAATTGTCAGTCCATTTCCTTTCTATGTCCCTGATTCTATTATAATCACCAGTTCATTCTGTTCATCAGATTACTTATTCACTTGATTCTTAGATTCACTTGTTGATAGATGTATATTTGTTGTTCATAATTTGTATCTTTACCTTTTTCTTCTTCTTCCTCTTCTTAAAGGATACCTTTCAGCATTTCATATAATACTGGTTTGGTGGTGATGAACTCCTTTAGCTTTTCCTTAACTGTGAAGCTCTTTATCTGACCTTCAATTCTGAATGATAGCTTTGCTGGATAAAGTAATCTTGGTTGTAGGTTCTTGGTATTCATCACTTTGAATATTTCTTGCCACTCCCTTCTGGCCTGCAAAGTTTCTGTTGAGAAATCAGCTGACAGTTGTATGGGTATTCCCTTGTAGGTAACTGAGTTTCTCTTGCTGCTTTTAAGATTCTCTCTTTGTCTTTTGCTCTTGGCATTTTAATTATGATGTGTCTTGGTGTGGTCCTCTTTGGATTCCTTTTCTTTGGGGTTCTCTGCGCTTCCTGGACTTGTAAGTCTATTTCTTTCACCAGGTAGGGGAAGTTTTCTATCATTATTTCTTCAAATAGGTTTTCAATATCTTGCTCTCTCTCATCTTCTGGCACCCCTATAATTCTGATGTTGGTACGCTTGAAGCTGTCCCAGAGGCTCTTTACACTATCTTGATATTTTCGGATTCTTTTTTCATTTTGCTTTTCCGGTTGGGTGTTTTTTGCTTCTTCGCATTTCAAATCTTTGACTTGATTCTTGCGCTCCTCTGGTCTGCTGTTGGGAGTCTGTATAATATTCTTTATTTCAGTCAGTATATGCTTAATTTCTAGTTGGTTCTTTATCACAACATCGAGGGTCTCATTAGATTTCTTGTAGATCTCATTAAGTTTATCGGCAGTTTCTAGAAAATTATTAAAAGACCTTAAAAGTGCGGTTCTGAACTCTATATCCTCCATTTCTGACATTTCTGTCCTGTTTGTCTCCGCATTTTTTATGCTTTCTTGGTGCACCCCCTAGTGGTCTTTGTGCGCAGTCTTGTTGTAGTTAAGCCTTGATTGTTGTAGGTAATACTGGGGGGTATTTGACCTCCAGGCCAACTGGCTGTGAGAATCAGCTGTGTCTGCAGTGGGAGAACTTCTGTCCTCTGGGGAGGTGCTAATCTAGCCTTTGCCTGAGGCTATCCGGCAAATGCCTCTGTGCAGGGCTTAGGCGGGGCGGGTCCCAGGGGATCAACAGGGTGGGCGGAGCGAGCAGTTATGGCTGCTCTCGGTCCCGTCCCCAGGGGCTCTGCCTCTCAGAGTCCCAGAAACCGCTGCAAGTACTTCGGAGAGAAAGCTGCCCTTGAGTTCCGACCGATGCCAGACAGTCCCGCTTCTCCCGTTTGAGTCTGGGTCCATAGAGACTTGCCCGGAACTGGACTCCAGAGCCTGAGACTCCCTCCCAATTGAAACAGACAACCACGTCCTCAGCCGCCAGCCCGCTTCGCACGCACCTCCGCACCTTTGTATTTTCCGCACTGCGCCTCCTCTGAGTCTTGGTATGCTTTTCTTTCCTTCTAGTTGTAGAAATTCCCCTCAGCCAGCCTTCCTGTGGTTCTGGGTGATGTCCATTCTGTCTTTTAGTTGTATTTTTGAAGTGGTTGTTCAAGGCAGTAATCTCCGGTGTTTACCTATGCCGCCATCTTGGTTCTCCCTTGAATATTATTTATATTTTTTTAAAATTTATTTCAGAGAGGAAGGGAGAGAGAGAATCATTGATCAGCTGCTCTTGCATGCCCCCCACTGGGGATCGAGCCCACAACTCGGGCATGTGCCCTGACCTGGAAACAAACTTCAACCTACTGGTTTGTAGGTTGACAACCAACCAGTGGTGAGCCATGCTGGCTGGACTTGCAATATTATTACAAGTACTAAATATACATCAGTGCTCAAAAATTGGTATGTCTCTGCAGGAGGCAAATTAGCCTAAGCTAAGATGATTCTCAATTTTTGAGGCCATACAAAATTGCTCTAGATCAGTGGTTCTCAACCTTCTGGCCCTTTAAATACAGTTCCTCATGTTGTGAACCCCAACCATAAAATTATTTTCGTTGCTACTTCATAACTGTAATTTTGCTACTGTTATGAATCATGATGTAAATATCTGATATGGAGGATGGTCTTAAGCGACCCCTGTGAAAGGGTCATTCGACCCCCAAAGGGATCGCGACCTACAGGTTGAGAACCGCTGCTCTAGATGTTATGCAATGAGATTAGAGGATGGGTTCATGAATGTGCATTTCAACAGCCACCCTGGATGTTTCTGGTAAAACTCAGACCACAGAATGAGGAACCTGGATAGGTGGAGTAGACAAGTGGGTCACACAGATATTGGGTTGAATCTGGAGGCAACAGTTACAGATATGTCTGGTCCAGAGGCAAATACTACTATATTTTTTGTGGATTCCTATTCCTAAGAGCAAGCAAATGTATGCCAAAAGCTCCCCAAGATATCTTCCCCTTGTGTTATCGTACAGGATTTGGTCATGTTCCACTGCTAAAATACTCCTTTGCAAAGTAAAGCAAATTCCGGCTACCAGTGAGGCTATCAGGGTTTGCCTCCAAAGATGGAGAGGAACATCTTCCCTGAAGAGTGAGAAACTACGTATAATTGAGGTATGGTCAGCAGAGAAGAATGTGGGAGCCCAACCGTGAGGCTCAGTTGGTTTAGTGTCATCCCATGCACCAAGATGTCACTGGTGAGATTCCCAGTCCGGGCACATGCCTGGATTACAGGCTTGATCCCAAGTAGGGGACGTGCAGGAGACAGCCAATAGATAATGTTTCTCTCTCTCCTTCTCCCTTCCCCTCTCTCTCAAATCAATAAAAACATATTTTAGAAATATATACTTGGGTGAGGATTAAAAAAAATGTTTAAAGAAAAAAATGAAGAAATAGATATTGGGTAGGAATCCAGCAATGAATGTTACAGTGGTGTAGTAGAGGAAGGACTAGAAGTCAGATCAAGCTGGATTGAAGTCGTACCTCTACCAATTACTACCTAACTGACCTTCGAGGTTTCATAATTGCTCTGAATATCAATTTATTCTTATGAAAACTAGATATAATGACCATAATAGAGTTGTGTGTAAGTCATAAGTCAACTGGATATATATATACACACACACACATATACATATATATATATAACAATGCCATTTAATAGAATGCATGGTTTCTAATAACAACCCCACAAATATTAACTAAACCTATTACTCTCATATTTTCTGTGCCACAGATTCTAAAGCTATACCAAGGGTGAAAATTCCTTGTATATCAGACAGAGAAGAGCTCCATGGTAAACAGGGACAATGGAAAACAGAAAGGCCAAATTCACTAACCTCTTCCAGCACAGACTCCTCAGAATGTCATGTTACAATATATGACCAGTAACTGTTCAAAAGGGCCTTCAGCCATAAACTCAAAACCACACCCTACAACTTTAAAGACTAATCCATCAATAGGTCAAGGATTCTCACAGGGGAGGAACAGGAGCTGGGAGTCTGTGAGAACCTGGGGTTGGAAGAGGTTGCAGCATCTATGCGTTGAGTCATGGGTAGAAGAGTTGTGACCATACTCACTCTGAGTGTAGTGCTTTCTCACTGTGCCCAAGATGCCTCCCATCGATTTTAGGTTGTTTATACACACTCAGCTGAGAATTCTGCTGATGGACAGGAGCCTTGTGAAACTCTTAGTTAAGTGATCAGCCTAATAGGTGGAATGTATGTTAATAATTATGGGAATACGGAGAACTGCCCTTTCCCAAAGGACCAGCTAAGTCTGTCAAATTTTAGTGACTAGCCACAAGGTTCAGGAGAGTGGGTTTGGAGAGGAAGCTCTAGTGGAAGTTGTTGGCCTGAACAGAAATGCTGTAAGATGGTGCACAGCTGACAGATTCTCATTCTTGAAATGTTTCAGGTGTGGCAGGATGGAAACTGGCTACACTGCTCTGCAGATCTTCTTACTGGTGATGCATGGGATCATCAGTGTCCTCGGCATCATGGGAAATGGGCTTGTGATCTGGGTGGCTGGATTCCGGATGGCACTCACAGTCACCACCTTGTGCTACCTGAACCTGGCCTTAGCCGACTTCTTCTTCAGCGCCACTCTGCCATTCTTCATGGTTGTAAATACCATGAGAGGACAATGGCCTTATGGCTGGTTCCTATGCAAGTTATTTAACATTATCATAGATACAAACCTGTATGGAAGTGTCTTCCTCATTGCTTTCATTGCTCTGGACCGCTGTATCTGTGTCCTGCATCCGGTCTGGGCCCAGAACCACCGCACTCTAAGTCTGGCTAAAAAACTGATCATTGTACCCTGGATTCTTGCTCTACTCCTTAACTTGCCAGTTCTCATCTTCTTTACTACAGAAACGGATGAGAACGGGGATATATACTGTGATTTCAACAACAACTTCTGGGGTAACATCAGTGAAGAAGAGAAGTTGCACAGGACCGTTACCTCAGTAGCAATCATAGGGATCAACCGGTTTGTCACTGGCTTCACTCTACCGATGTCCATCATCGCCATCTGCTATGGGCTCATTGCAGCCAAAATCCGAAACAAGAGCATGATGAAGTCCCGCCATCCCTTACGGGTCCTCACTGCTGTCGCAGCTTCCTTTTTCATTTGCTGTTTCCCCTTCCAACTGTGTCTTCTTCTGGCCACAGTCTGTGTCACAGCAGTATCTGAAGAAAAGTACAACATCATTCTTCTCCTGGCATCTCTAACAGGCATCCTGGCCTTTTGCAACAGCTGCCTCAACCCAGTGCTCTATGTCTTCCTGGGGAGAGACTTCCGAAAGAAACTGATCCACTCCCTGCCTGCCAGTCTGGAGAGGGCCCTGACTGAGGACTCAGCCCCAACCAGTGACACAACCACCAAATCGGCTTCACCTCCTATAGAGGCCCAATTACAGGAGATGTGAGGTGCCTGGGATCAGTTATGAGCTTTGCCGGCTCCTGTCCTGCTCCCTCTTCCAGCTTCACCTTACCTTAGGTCATACTGAGCGTTAGGTAAAATTTCCCTGGCCAGGAGACTGTAGAAAGAGACTGAGGGCCCCATTATTAAACTCAGAGTTTCTTAAGGGAACGTACATACAAGGCTCAGCTTGGGAGGCAGCAAGATGACACGGAGGTCCTCCGTGCTACAGGACAGGTGATAAGGAGTTTATAGGACAGGGAAGATGGATGGAGGTACTGGAGAATGACCCACCTCAGGTAAGGAAAAACTGCCTTACAGACTTGCCTAGGGCACTCCCAGGGCCAGTCCCAGGAACCAGCATGCGGGGGGTGTTGGGAGGGGTTGGACTGTCTCTGAGGGGATTTCTGGGAAGCAATTTCTGTTCTGGCTTGAATGCAGCTACATAATCTGGCAGCGGTGACATCAATGAATAGTCTCTTCTCCACACTGAAACATTCATCATGAAAAATACTTTGGTGCCCCCTGATTTGGAGATAAGAATGGACATCCGGGTATTATTGCTCTCATTTTTCATTTTGGCACCTCAGCCTATACCCAGGGTCAGTGGAGGTGGGAAAGAGTTACAGGGATGAGAAGAAGAAGAGTGATGGGGAGTCTGTAAAGCTTAGATGAGAAAGTATATTAAAGGGAAAACTTTGGTATTTTACCATGAAGTAAGATGTTTCCTGTAGATTGTTTTTATCTATTTTTTATCTGACCACAGAAGGTTCCTATTCCTAATTTACTAACTGTTTTCTTCTTTTCTTAATCATAAATTTCTACTGGATTGTATCAAATGCATGTTCTGCAGCTATTAAGATGATCATATTATTTTTATCATTTTACTTACACCATCATAAACTATATTCATTTTTTAGTGTTAAACTACCTTTGTATTCATAGAATAACCACACTTGGTAATTATATACTATATATATACTGTATATATATATATATATATATATACACACACACACACACACACACACTTTATATATATACTATATTTATATGTACATAGTATGTATATATATATATATATATACTTTATATATATACTTTCTATATATACTTTATGTATACATTATATACTTTATATATTTCCAAACCACTCTAGGTTGGTTTGGAATTTCTGCATTTATATTTATATGTAAAGATGCACATGTTTTTTTAATTTCCACTTATATCCATGTCAGGTTTTACATCCCACAATGTAAAAAGAGCTGGGAAGTAATTCATCCAATACTATTCTCTGGTGTTATATCTTTTATAAATGTTTAGAGAAATTCACCAGTGATCCCAATTGCATATTGAGTTTTCTTTACAAGAAGACTTCTAACAGGTTCAATTTCTTTAATAATTATAGGGTTATTCAGACTTTCTATTTCCTCTTCTGTCTGTTTTGGTAACCTATGACATTCAAGGAATTTAGTCATTTTTTTCCAAATAGCCAAATTTATTGGTATGAAACAGTATGAAAACTGTGTTACAGTACTTGGTAGGGTTATCTTTACATAATAAGAATGTAATCTATCTGAGGGCAGGGTTTGGCCTTTATTGTTCATGAATGGACCCCAAAACCATATGTGTAAAATAGCGCCTGACATGTGATAGATACCCAAAGAGTTATGTAATTAATGACTCAATGAATAATAGCATCATCCAGGTATCAACTGCAGACCTTTAATGTCTAATTAAAATGAATTCTGAATTCATCATGAATGGGGGACTGTTTACTGAACTCTCACTGCCATTCCCAAAATTTGTACAAATCCTCAAGTGCCTTATCTTTTTATGAACACCTCAGATTTTGATTTTCTGTTTCTAATAAAGTACTCTGGCAAACTGTTGACTGCTGGCTTTGCTTTGAAATAAATTAATCTACAGTAGTTCTCAGCCTTTTTTCTTGGTTTCTGCAACTAATCACTCACACATTGTCATCTAATGTGTAAGTGAACATCCTGATGCGTTGGCCAAAGATAAACTCAAAATACAGATTCAAATGCAAAAAAATATTTGGTCTTTGTCCCTGGTCCTTGCCATCGGGCATCTAAACACTTGCAATTTCCTGAATGACATGTGTCTTTTTATCATGAGGAGTCCCTTTAGATCACACCAAATTTATGTTAATGAGGTCAGTGAGGGTCTCCCTAGGTAGCCTCAGTGGGACCAAGCCATTAAAGCTTCCAAAATTTCAGATCAACACACTGACATCTGGAAACAGTAGTTGGGAAGGCGCAGGATATTAAGCTCCATAAAACTCTTGAACAATAAGAGTTGATGAGCTTCTGGGTTGCTGCACACATCAAGGTATTGGGAGGGTGATGCTCCCAAGAGAACATGAGAACTCTGGGCACACACATCCCCCATACCTTGCCCGATGCATCTCTTTGATTTGGCTGTTCTGGAGTTGTAGTCTTAATAATGAATACAACATAATGTTGTGTTCATTATTTTTGTTTGTTGTATGCTTACTTATGCTAAACATAAGTAAATTCCTTCCTGAGTTCTGTGAGCCATTCTAGCAAATAATTGTACCTGAGGAGGGGACTGTGGGGACCTCTGATTTACAATCTTAAGCACAATTGGCAACCTGGGACTCCCAAGTGGCACCTGAAGTGGGGTAGCCTTATAGCACTGAGCCCTTTACCTTGTAGGATCTGGCCCTAATTCCAGACAGTGTCAGACTGAATTAGATTGTAGAACACCCAGGTCAGGTCCACAGAGAATTGGAGAATGTTTCAGTACAGAACAAACCCACACCTATGGTGTCTATAGTGCTGTTTGAGTGAAGAAATAAGGTTTTTTGAAACCAATAACTGTGTTTTATTGCTTGCCTCCAATTCCTCTCACATCAGTAATTATTTCTTTCATTTCCTTGAATCTCTGAAAGAGAAATGGCCTGAACACAAAACATCCTTGACCCTTGATATTTAAGAATAAGCTGACAACATATCCAGAATGTTTTATGAAAATTGCAAGAAGCTCTGAGTTCCTGTCATATGACTGATTGAGCCCCATTGTCCTTCCTCCTTGTCCTTCAATAAAGCATCTGCTGAAGCCCTCCTGTCTGAGTTACTCCACAGGAAGACAGGAACTGGCCACAGGAACTGGTCGCAGCTCGTGGTAAGTTCCAAGCCTGAGAATTTAAAAATTGTTATGAGAGTATCTATTATGTGGCAGATACCTCTGAGCTCTAGAGCTGGACTGTCCAATAAGAATCCACTTGCCACATATGACTATTGAGTTCTTGCTAGTCTGACCTGAGATGAGTGTAATAAAAAATGAATTTCATATATTCAAAAACTTAATATAAAAAAGGAAGAGAAAATGTCTCATTGAAAATTCTCAGATTGGTTATGCTGAAATGATAGTCTCTATGTGTTGAGTTAAAAATATATACTATTGCCGAAACCGGTTTGACTCAGTGGATAGAGCATCGGCCTGCGGACTGAAGGGTCCCGGGTTCGATTCCAGTCAAGGACATGTAACTGGGTTGCGGGCACTTACCCATTGGGGGATGTGCAGGAGGCAGCTGATCGATGTTTCTCTCTCATCGATGTTTCTGACTCTCTATCCCTCTCCCTTCCTCTCTGTAAAAAATCAATAAAATATATTTAAAGAAAAAAAATATATACTATTAAAATTTATTTTGTTTATCTTAACAAAATTTAAAGTCACAGATGAGGCTCACAACTCTGGTTCTATTGGACAACATAAATATAGGGATATAGCATTGAATGAAATATGTAGTCTTCTGTAGCATATGTACTAATGTGCAGGGTATTTTGAATAAAAAACAAATGAATGGACAAATAAACAAGGACAGTCCTGATGATATAGGATGTTCCTGGAATAGCTGCTTTGCACTGCGCATCAGGCAGGACCTCTCTGAGAATATAATATCTAAGCTGAGATAGCAATATTCAGAAAGAGCCAGATGCAAAAAGCTTGAATAGAAGGGCAAAGTAGGAAGAAAGAAGAGAGGATGCAAAAGTCCTGATATGGCAATAAGCGTGTCATGTTCAAGAAATCAAAGGAATTCAGTGTGGATCCATAACACTCTGTGAGAGGATAGTAGGTATGTGAGGAATACACAGCCCAGATCCAGGAGAACTTGATAAGCGTGAGTTAGGAGTTTGGAAGCCATTGCAGGGTGTTGAGCAGAATAATGTCATGGTATGATTTGTGTTTATAAAATATCATTTGGCTTTTATGTAGAGAGAGAATGGATTGGGTGTGGGGGCGCAGCATCAGAAGCAAGAACAAGGTATTTGGAAGGTTTGTGCAAATCTGCAACCAGACAAGGTCTATGGACAAAAGTTAATGGTGATAAAAACTGTTCCAGTTACTTAGTAGACAGAATTGATTGACTTGGATGGGACGGTCATGGAAAGGGGATTCAAGGATGTGTCAGATTTACTGGTAGAGATTTAACAACTGAGTGCTTAAGTTCCAAATAAACACAGAATATTGAGAGGGACAGATTTGGGAGGATGGAAGAATTAAGAGTTTGATCTACGCAATGTGAGGTTTGGAAGGAGAAAAAGCTAATAAATTGGCCCTGCCAGGTTTGGCTCAGTGGATAGAGCATTAGCCTGCAGTCTGAAGGGTCCCAGGTTCGATTCCATTCAACAGCACATGCCTGGGTTGTGGGCTCGATCCCCAGTAGGGGGCGTGCAGGAGGCAGTCGATCAATGATTTTCTCTCATCATTGATGGTTTTATTTTTCTCTCCCCTCTCCCTTCCTCTTTGAAATCAATAAAAAATGTTAAAAAATAAAGCTAGTAAATTGGTCTGAGATGAGGTGGTCTATAAAGACAACCAAGAGTTTGTTGTATGTACATTTTATCATCTAAAGCAGTGGTTCTCAATCTGTGGGCCGCGACCCCTGAAAATACATACTGCATATCAGATATTTACATTAGGATTCATAACAGTAGCAAAATTACAGTTATGAAGTAGCAACGAAAATAATTTTATGGTTGGGGGTCACCACAACGTGAGGAATTGTATTAAAGGGTCAAAGCATTAGGAAGATTGAGAACCACTGGTTATTCTAAAGGCATATGGAAATGTGGTTTAAGAAGGAGGAAAGGATTTATGGCATCCTACATCACAGAGAGGATAAGAACTGAGAAGAGACCACTGGAGCGGTGACATGGAGGCCATAGGCCTTCTTACAGGGAGCACAGTCTATGGCAGTGATGGCGAACCTTTTGAGCTCGGCGTGTCAGCATTTTGAAAAACCCTAAGTTAACTCTGGTGCCGTGTCACATATAGAAATTTTTTGATATTTGCAACCATAGTAAAACAAAGACTTATATTTTTGAGATTTAGTTTATATATTTAAATGCCATTTACCAAAGAAAAATCAACCAAAAAAATGAGTTCGCGTGTCACCTCTGACACACGTGTCATAGGTTCACCATCACTGGTCTATGGAGTGCTCAGGACCTAAGTCAGTTTTCAGAAGTTTAGGAGAAAAGCTGAGGTGACAAAATTCACTGAAAGAATTTTCTTGAGAGCACAGGGCTGAAGCCGGAAGGAACATGGGCCAAGGGCGGGTGCTTTGTGAAGGAAGGGGATATATGATCATGTGTGGCATAGAATGATTTAGTAGAAAGAAAATCTCGGGGATGTTTTGGCAGAAAAGAATAGTGATACTGCTGGAGGGTAATTCTTGGAAAGGTGAGACAGAGAGAGGCATCCAGAGCAACCTTGAAGAGGGAATGAACAAGAATTCTTGATTTACTCACTGTATGAACTGGAATGAATAAGAACTCTATTCACTAAAACAGATGCAGGTAGATTACAGTGTTTGCTTGAGAGAAGGCTAAAATGTTCATAAATAAATACTAGCATAGTCTCATTAACATATGAGGCAAGGGCATCAGGTGAGAGCGGGAATTGAGAAAACGTTAAGAAGTTTTAGGAGGAAGCAGAACTGAAACAATTATTTCAAAGCATGAAAATGGGAACATGATGAAGAAACAGATAAACTAATAGGAAACTTCTGAAATCTGTGGTCATAAATCCAGTTACCCTTAATAAGTTAGACACTGGGCAGGTCACTTCCTCTGCCAGGACCATGGATGGATGATATTTATCAAAAGCAAGGATGGCTTCACAGGAGTTGATAAACTGTACTGTGAAGGACACCTTTTATGAGTCACCAAATAGCAGCCATCATAATCCATCCGTGCACCATCTGTGGATCACAGGCTCTCCTCCACCCTTATTGAGTGGGCTCATAATTTCACAGCTTTGCCTCAATGACCTTTCTTCACCTGCCATTGCACAATCATCCTTCCCTGTTGTATCAGCATATTTTAAACGAATGTTTTAGACATTATTGAGCACATTCTAGCTCCTGACTGAACTGTGAGGTGCTGAGTGGGTGGGTAGAAAGAAACTGACCCTGCTTAAGGAATATGAGGTGGGAGAAAGTTAAGAGCACATTTCTGGTGGAAGCCATGTGCCTGAGCTCAAATGCGGGCTCTGCTTCTTTCTAAATGGAGGTTTCAAACAATTAATGTGACCAGTTTAAGCCTTCACTTCCTCATCTGTACAATGGTTATACTAATTATAGCCACTATGATTCCATATTTACAAAGTCGCAAAATATTCTTAGTGCTTTAAGCATATTCATGCATGTAATCCTCAAAAGCCATGAGAGTTGTGGTGAGAGTTAGAAGAGGAGCTCTTGGCTCGTGAAAATGTCATAAGTAGTCATTACGGTTATTATGAGCATTGTCTTGACCTAAATTTGAGCTTCCACAATGTATAAACCAAGACTGAATCTCAGGACACAGGACAGAGACTGGTGAGCACCAAGAGTTCCCGTATGTTGAAGGCAGTCGGTTCAGCCTAAAATATTTCCATGTCTATTCTCATCTAATCTTCACCTACAAACCACACTAACCACAAAATCACATCATTCTGTAAAGGAGGAAACAGACCTTCAAAGAAGATGTCAGAGAGGAGATTAGAATACAGATTGACTTAAGTCCTGAGCCCAGCACTACACTGTAACACTGACTCTCAACTGGGGTGACTTTCCCCCAGGGGACATTTCAGTGTCTGCAGAGACTTTTGGTTGTCAAACAGAAGGATGCTGCTAATGGCATCTATTTGATAATATGTAGTAATATCTAGAGGCCAGGGATGCTGCTAAACATCCTACAATGTACAAGACAGTCCCCCCACAACAAAGAATTAGCCGGTCCCAATTGTTAGTGTTGCCAAGGTTGAGAAACCCTGCACTACATTAAGCAATATCCCACAGAAGATTCGGTAAAAGTGATGAGTGAAGACAAAAGAAGGAAAGAAGAATGAACACGGAGGATTGAGGCAAATTGTCATGCTAGGTTATGGTCATCTCCAGGTAATCTTGGGAAGATCCTTAAAAGGCAGTATTTACAGAGGAAAAGGCCGTGGCTCTGGAATTGGTTCAATCTGTTTTTCAAAGATTGTTGTATACTGACTGGCTGGGCTCAAGATAGTGAACAAACTGCTGAAACCCTTGGGCCACGGTTTCCCCTTGGTGAAGAGGGCTCAAAATGGATGGCATGCAATATTATTACAAGTATTAAATGTACATAGGCACCCCCAAAATTGAGAGACATCTTCCCTGAAAAGTTTTCAAAATTGGGTTTGGTTAGCAAAGAAAAATCGGGGAACAGATGTTGGAAAAGAATCCAGCAATGTCTGTCACAGCAGTGTGGTGAAGGAAGGACTTGAAGACAAATCAGGCTGGATTCCAAGTCCTTCCTCTACCTCTTACCTGCTAAGTGACTTCTACACATCTAACTGCTCAGAATATCAATTTATTCTTTTTTTTAATGTATATTTTTTATTGATTTTTTACAGAGAGGAAGGGAGAGGGATAGAGAACTGAAACATCGATGAGAGAGAAATATCGATCAGCTGCCTCCTGCACACCCCCCACTGGTGATGTGCCTGCAACCAAGGTATATGCCCTTGATCAGAACCGAACCTGGGACCATTGAGTCTGCAGGCTGATGCTCTATCCACTGAGTCAAATCGGTTAGGGCCAATTTGTTCTTATGAAAACTGGAAACAATGGACATTATAGAGTTGATGAAGGTCAAACTAGATCCCTACATAGGTAACTAGATCACCACTAAATATAATACCTGGTCTCTAATAAAACCCCCACAAATATTAACCAAATCTATTAATCTCATATTCTTTATGTCACAAGACAATGAAGCTATACAGTGGGTGAAAATTCTTTGCATCCCAAATGGAGAAGAGCTGCATATCAAACAAACAATAAAAAACAGAGGGTTGAGCAATAACTGGTTTGGCTCAGTGGTTGCGGGCACATCCCCAGTAGGGGGCGTGCAGGAGGCAGCTGATCGATGTTTCTCTCTCATCGATGTTTCTAACTCTCTATCCCTCTCTCCCCCCCTCTCTGTGGAAAAATCAATAAAATATAAAAATAAAAACAACACAGAGGGTTGAATGTAGAGCAGGGCCCCCTTCTCTGACCTCTTCTAGCACAGAAGCCACAGGATGTAACATATTACTACATATCACCAGTAACTATCCAACATCCTCTTCGACTATAAACTCAAACCACACTCTAAAATTAACAACATATTCACCAATGCAATCCTCAAGAGCCATGTGAGGGGAGTTGTGGTGAGAGGAACACCATAGTAGGTCAAGGTTTCTCACAGGAAGAGGAACAGAAGCTGGGAGTCTGTGAGAACCTGGGGCTGGAAGAGGTTGCAGAGCCTGCCAGCATCTATTCATTGAGTCATGGGTGGAAGAGTTGTGACCACACTCATGCTGAGTCTAGTGCTCCCTCACTGTGCCCAAGATGCCTCCCATTGATTCGCTGTTCTTTATACACCCTCAGCTCAGGATTCTGCTGAGGGACAGAAGCCTTGTAACACTCTTGATTAAGTAATTAACCTAATAGGTGGAATGTATGTTAATAATTGTGGGAATATGGAGAACTATCCTTTCCCAAAGGAACAGCCAAGAGTCTGTCAAATTTATAGTGACTAGCTACAAGGTTCAGTAGAGTGCGTATCTTATTTGGAGAGGAAGCTATAGTGAAAGTTGATATTGGCCTGATATTTTCACAGCTGATAAATCCCCATTGTTGAAATGTTTCAGGTGCGGGCAAGATGGAAGCCAACTTCTCCATCTCTCTGAATAGATCTGATGAGATGCTCCATGAGTCTACTGGCTACACTATTGTGCAGATTGTCTCACTGGTGATTCAAGGGATCGCCTTTGTTCTCGGCATCCTGGGCAATGGGCTTGTGATCTGGGTGGCTGGATTCCGGATGGCACGCACAGTCACCACCTTGTGTTACCTGAACTTGGCCTTAGCTGATTTCTCTTTCCTGGCCACTCTACCATTCCTCATGGTGTCAAGTATCATGAAAGAACAATGGCCTTTTGGCTGGTTCCTATGCAAGTTAATTTACATTGTAGTGGACATTAACTTGTTTGGAAGTGTCTTCCTCATTGCTTTCATTGCTCTGGATCGCTGTATTTGTGTCCTGCACCCAGTCTGGGCCCAGAACCACCGCACTGTAACTCTGGCTACAAAACTGATCATTGTACCCTGGATTCTTGCACTAGTCTTTACCTTGCAAAATTTCATCTTCTTGACTACAGTAAGTGATAACAGTGGGAATGTGTACTGTACTTTCAACTTTGCGCCGTGGGCTGACACCCCTGAAAAGTTGCTGAAGGTGATCATCACCGTGCTGACATCTAGAGGGGTCATCCGGTTTGTCATTGGCTTCACTATGCCAATGTCCATCATCGCTATCTGCTACGGGCTCATTGCTGTCAAGCTCTCTAAAAAAGGCATGATTAATTCCAGCCGTCCCTTACGGGTTCTCACTGCTGTTGTGGTTTCCTTCTTTGTTTGTTGGTTCCCCTTTCAACTGGTTGCCCTTCTGCACACAGTTTGGCTCAGAGAGATATCACTCGGGAATAAGTACAAAGTCCTTGCCATCCTGCTTAACCTAGTGAGACCCCTGGCCTTCTTCAACAGCTGCCTCAACCCAATGCTCTATGTCTTCATTGGCCAAGACTTCCGAAAGATACTGATCCACTCTCTGCCTGCCAGCCTGGAGAGGGCCATGACCGAGGACTCAGCCCCAGCCAGTGATACAACAACCAAATCTGCTTCACCTCATGCAGCAGCTGAGTTACAGGCAATGTGAGGAGGCAGGAGGACATTTTCAAGCTCTGCCTGTTCCTACCCTGATCCCCGTTCCAGCTTCATATTACCTTGGGTCACAATGAGCCACTCATCATGACAATTACTTTGGTGCCCTCAGAATGGTTGGAAGAAATGGACTTATGGGTATTATTTCTGTCATTTTTGGCTTTGGCACCACAGCATATACCCTGGGGTTAGTGGAGTTGGTAAAGAGTACAAGGGTAGAGAAGAGAAAGAGTGATGGGGCATCTATAAAGCTTAGATGAGAGAGTATATAAAGGGGACAACTTTGGTAGTTCACCGTCTAGTAAGATGTTTCCTATGGCTGTTTTGTAAGCATTTCTTATCAGACTACAGAATTCTTTTTCTATACCCAGCTTGTAAGAGTTTCTTCCTTTTTAAATCATGAATCGCTACTGCATTGTATCAAATGCATTTCTGAATATGTTAAGATGATCATATTATATTTTCCTTTCATTTACATCATAAATTATATTCTTTATTATATTCTTCTTGATTTCAGAGAGGAAGAGAGAGAGAGAGAGAGGTAGAAAGATCAATGATTAGAGAGAATCATTGACTGGGAATTGAGCCCGCACCCCAGGCATGTGGTCTGACTGGGAATCAAACCATAACCTCCTGGCTCCTAAGTTGACGCTCAACCACTGAGCTATACTGGCTCAGCGATTATATTCATTTCTGAATGTTAAAGTAGCCTTGTATTCCTAGAATAAGCCAGACTTGCTCATGATGTATTTTATATATTTCTAATAAATCTTACTTGACTGGTTTGCAATTCTGCATTCATGTTTATGTGAAGATTGGTCTGTTCTTTTGCTTTCCTCTAATGCCTGTGTCAGGTTTTACACCAACTTATACTGGCCTCCTGGAAAGAGCTGGGAAGTGATTCCCTGATTCTTTTTTCTGGTGTTATATCTTTATAAATGTTTAGAGAAATTTACCAGTGAAGCCATTTGAGTTTGGGGTTTTTTTTATGAGAACGGTTTAATAACAGGCTCTATTACTTGAGTAGTGGTTAGAATCTCCAGATGTTTCTATTCCTGTCAGTTTTAATCAACTGTGACTTTCAAAAAATTTAGCATTTCATACAAACTATCAAATGTATTGGCATGAAACAGTATAACTATTTACAGCAATGGTATGGCCTCCTTTACATAATGACAGTATAAGCTCTCTGAGGACAGGGATCTGGTCTGTACTGTTCTCTAATGAATCATGATAACCAATGTGTAAAATAGTATCTGATATGTGACAGATACTTAATATGTAGTTATTGAATTAATGAAACAATAAACAGTATCATGCAGGTGTCAAGTGAGAATCTTTGATGTCCAATTAAAATTATCTCTGCACTCATGTCATGAATTTAGCCATGTCCAGTGAACTCTTATCCCCATGCCCACAATTTTTACAAATCCTCATTCTGTTTAAATTTTTATGACCACCTCAGATTTTGACTTTCTATTTCAAGTAAAGTACTCTGGCTGTTGACTGATGACTGTGTTTTGAAATAAAATCAATCCATAATGGTACTCGGTCTCTTTTCTTGCTTTCTTCAAATAATCACTCACAAATTGCCCTTTATTGTATAAAATGTTTTCCTAACTTATTGGCAAAAAAAAAGTATATATATACTAGAGGCCCGGTGTATAAAATTCATGCACTGGAGGGGGGTGTCCCTCAGCTCAGCCTGCCCCTTCTCACAGTCCAGGAGCCCTCAGGGGTGGGAGGCAACCTGGTGATCAGGGGAAGGCGACGCCCCCATCACATCTCTGCTGCTGCCACTACTGGCACAAGGGCACATGCCCAGGTTGAGGGCTCCATTCCCAGTAGGGGGCATGCAGGTGGCAGCCAATTGATGATTCTCTCATCACTGATGTTTCTATTTCTCTCTCCCTCTCCCTTCCTCCCTGAAATCAATAAAAATATACATTTTTAAATTTATAAAACCCTACATCTATACAAATGAATCTTAGATATCATCTTGAGAAAATAAGACACAACAGCGTATAGACAGCATAATTCCATTTATATTTTTTAAAAGTTACACTATACAGGTTAGGGATATGTCACTATCTAGTAACATTATAAAGGAAAAGTGATGAATTGGTCACCACAATAGTCAAGATCGTGGTTACAAGTGGACGGAAGGAGGAAAAGTGATTAGGAAAAGCAGGTTGTGGCTGATGGCTTGTGGAGTACTGATGTCTTGACTTGCTGGTGGTACATGGTTGTTTCTTTTACAAAAATGTACTGATCTTCATGTTTATCTTTTATCCATTTTTCCCCTTGGGTTTGTTCTAGTCCACATTTAAAAAACAAAATAGTTCCATCAAATTTAGCTCCTTTTTCCTTAATAGCAGGAGAGCTTCATAGCTTCTGGATTCAGGCTGCTTGAAGCGGGCAACCCATTCATATCAACACTGCAATTCTCTACATTTGCACTTACTAGGACAGGGAGCAGACCGGGCAAAGGCAGCCTTAGCAAACAATCCTGGCTGACTGGCTTCAGTATGTCCAGGGCTAATGAAAACAAACTTACCAGAAACCGGGCTCCCCCTTGTGGCTAAAACTCAAAGCAAGGAAATGGAAGTCTTGCCTCAGCCTCAGCTTCATGACCTCACTGGGAGAGAAGCTCTAGGAATGCTTCATTAATTTCCCTGGGAGCCACCCAGAGTGATTTCTATGCGCCTCTGAACAGCGGTTCTCAACCTGTGGGTCGTGACCCCTTTGGGGGTCGAACGACCCTTTCACAGTGGCTGCCTAAGACCATCGGAAAACACATATATCATTATATATTGTTTTTGTGATTAATCACTGTGCTTTAATTATGTTCAATTTGTAACAATGAAATTGGGAGTCACCACAACAAGAGGAACTGTATTAGGAAGGTTGAGAACCACTGGAATAGAAGCTTTGTACTTTTTTAATCCAGGAAGTCCCCTTCAGCTGAGAACATACAGGAAGAGTCTGGAGATCTCTCCTGTTATTTCATCCCACCCTAAGAATTACCACTGCTACTAGATAAAGAAAATCCAAGTAAAGTGTAAATGTTTCCTAATTTGGAGACACTGAGGATTGGCCAATGGCATTTTTTCCTCACATTCCCATCTCAGGCCTCACTCTGCTCCAAACATCATCTCGGTACCTGTTTCCCACATGTTAATCTACAACTAATACTCCAGCAAGATTGCTTGGGAAGTATTTTTAAAATGTGGATTAGGTTCACCAATGGTACATCTGATAAGGGGTTAATATCCAAAAAAATATAAAGAACGTATAAAACTCAACACCAAAAAACATACAATCCAATTAAAAAATGGGCAAAGGATCTAAATAGACACTTCTCCAAAGAGGACGTACTGATGGCCAATAGACATGAAAATACTAGCAGCCCAGCGCACCGAAATCGTGCGTGGTTAGGGTCCCTAGGCCTAACCTGGCCTCCGTTGCATGGCCTCTGCCACCCTGTGACACTATGTGAAGCTCCCTGCCCAGGCACGCTCCATGATGCTTGCGGCCCCTCAACTGCTCCCCGAACCCCACGACTGCTCCGCAAAGCTTGCTGCCGCCCCGTGAAGCTCACCGCTGAACGCTCCATTTAACTCCCCGCCACTGCTCCGGGAGGCTCCCCGCACCCTGTGACTGCTTGCTTCGCAAAACTTGCTGCCGCCCAGGTTACTGCTCCGCTAAGCTCACGGCCACCCCAGAAGCAGCCCACCACCACCGCTCAACAGTCCCCAGTCTCGCCCTGCCACCAGCCCCCTCTCATGGTGAGCGGCTCGGGGGACCGGGGGGGGGGGGGGGGGGGGGGGGGGGTGGACAGAGAGGTGCTCCAAGCACTTCATGGTGACTGGTCGCCTATTCGGTCGTGACAGCACCTAGCTCTTTATATATATTAGGATGCTCAACATCACTAATCATCCGAGAAATGTAAATTAAAACTACAATGAGGTATCACCTCACACCTGTCAGAATAGCTACTATCAATAAATCAACAAATAACAAGTGCTGGTGAGGATGTGGAGAAAAGGGAACCCTTGTGCACTGCTGGTGGGAATGCAGACTGGTGCAGCCACTGTAGAAAACAGTAAGAAATTTCCTCAAAAAGTTAAAAATTGAACTTTTGACCCAGTAATCCCACTTCTGGGTATATAGCCTAAGAATCTCAAAACATCAATCAGAAAGTATGAAATTTTTTGTGGAAAGTATATATACTAAAAAAAAAAAATCACATAAATTTCTTTGTTGAATAATTGTATGCAATTTGACAGGACTTGTATTGGCCAAATATGAGGAAATACGAGCTTAAAACAATGACAGCAAAGATGATAAAGCAGTGAATAAAATAACTCTTGAATCCATAGTGACATTAAAAAAAATAAAGCAAATAAATGGCGGAAAGAGAAAAGCCCTGCCTTACAGAATACCAAATATTAAATATATATAGAATAGTTAAGAAGATCACTATTTTGTAGTCATCATGATAATAATGAACCAGGTAAGAATAATCAGTGGTTGGTAAAACTAACAAAGGTCTGATGAGGAGCATGGCATTTACACAGCCTCAAATTATCTCTGCAATTTAATAATTTCTAAGGGGGAAACAGTAGCTTTAGAGTGGAGAAACCAGGCAGGCCCAACAACTGACCACAATTCATATTGTCAGTAATAAGACAAACCAGCCCTAGCTAGTTTGGCTCAGTGGATAGAGCATCGGCCTTCAGACTGAAGGGTTCCAGGCTTGATTCCAGTCAAGGGCATGTGCCTGGGTTGCGGGCTCGATCCCCATTAGGGGGCATGCAGGAGGCAGCCAATCAATGATTCTCTCTCATCATTGATGTTTCTATCTCTATCTCCCTCTCCCTTCCTCTCTGAAATCCATAAAAATACATGAAAAAAAAAAAGACTAACCAAATCCTATGCCTCCTGATGCAATGCATGAGGACACAGTATCATGCATGTAGCATTCCTGCCAAAAATGCATAATCAATCATTAGGAGACATGAAACTGAAATTGAAGAATATTCTATAAAATAAGTAAACTTTGCTCTGCAAATGGCAAAGTCATAAAGGACAAAGATAGGAACTGTTCCACATTAAAGGAATCT